TGTTATAAAAATTGTCGAATGCTACTTACAAGATGTATCTAGTGCAGTTGAAGATATAATAAGGTGCAAAAACTGTGAAGAAAGTGCAAGACCATCACCAACAATCATCTTGTCATTAAATAATAGTGCAAATAAACTTGAAGAGATGATATAAAATTATTTGAAAGTAAAGTAATCTGTATGTTTTGAGTGTAAAGAAACAAAATTTTCAGCCAGAGTACTAAATCAGCATCTCTATATAAAGACAGAATATATGACAAATATGATTCTACCACTAAAAGATTTTCCAAAAGTATTGAACAAAAAGTAAATATTTTTCATATTAAATCTTGGTTTATTTGAAAAAATTTTTAAATATTAACTATTTTTATTTCACAGGTATCATTTGGTAGCTATTGTTAATTTTTCCGCTGGACATTACACGACATACATAAGAAGAATTTCAAAAAATGTTTGGGACTTTGAGAGCTTCATAATGATCTCTCTCTCTCAAAAAAAAATTGTAACTTCAGAAAATAAAATTTTGCATCCCCATATACTAATGTACATATGTATTATTGTATATTGTGTTATTAGAATAACAAAAAATCATATTATTTATTTTATTTATTTATTTGTTTGAAGTCTGAACAATCCAATTTACAATTTTTTATAATCATTTATTAATTTTATTAATTTTTATTTTAAACTATATTATATTTTTATAAAGCTTATATAATATATAATATCAATTATATTATTTGAATACTATAAATGTTATTTTTAATCTTATACATTTCATAATATGCAATTTTATAATTTCAAAGTACCTATGTACCTACCCATTTTAAATTTTTACTTTGGTTTTGACATTTGTTTATTAGTCATTAATAAATATTTATCTAAAAGAAATAAATGTATTGATATAAATTTTATGTTACTCGTATAAAATAACAAAAAAGTCAATCAATCTTTAATTTATTATTACCACCTATTTATAATTCTCAAGTAAAAACATATGAACTAACTTTAACAAAGTGACACATAGTAAATGTAAATTTGTTGAAGTTATATCATGTTTCAATTATAATTTATAGAAGTGGTGTTCTAATGGGTATTTATTTTTTACCACATTTTACAAACGTTACATTTTTATAGAATCTGAACTTAATTTTTTTCAATTTTGATTACTTTGGTGTGCCAATTAATAAATTAACGTGGGCCAGTCATACTTGGACACCACTAATTTATGAATAGGAGTAAGCAGAAAATTGTCTAAACACTCTAAACAAATCAGAAAATTGTTTTACTTCCATTTGGATTATGTTGTGGATACGTTTTTATTTGTTGTTGCAGTTATAATATATATTAGTTTACTAGATTAATCGCTGACAACCTAACAATAGGTATTAATCAATATCATTAAATAACTACCTAGTAAAATAACTCAACTTTTTTTTGACTATTCTATGATTTTTTTTTAATTTAAATACCTAGAAATGCATCATAATTACAAATAGATTTGAATATTCTATCCGATTTTGATACAGTTAACAAATCACCATTAAATTATGAAGAATTATAGTAATAACATTTTCTAGCATTTCTCCATTCTTAACATATAGGTACCTAGATAAATCATCATTAACACGAGTACATGATATCAATGATTTAGGTGTGATATTTCATTCCACTTTTTTTTCATGGAACACTTATTACATACAAGTAAATTATCAATGACATTAGGCTTTATTAAATGTAAAGATTTCACTAATCTCGTTGCTTTGAAAACTTTACTTATTTATATATTTCAACCTGAATTAAAATATGATTTTTTGGTTTAGTCCCCTTGCATAAAATATCAAATTCACCTTTACGATAATACACAAAATCGTTATTCTTAGTTTTTATTTATATTCGAATACTTGATGATGATAGTATTCCCCAAGTATAATAAGTACTTCACAAAAAGTATTCCAAATATTTTTTTTGATTCTTTTGAGTTGGTGTTCCTAGATATAAAAAATGATATTATTATTATTATAATATTTATTATTTTATTATTATTCATTTATTGACATATCTACATATTATTATCTTCTCGCCATAAAAATTGGAAATAACATTAATATTACAGAAATAGTCGAAAAAAATATATGATATTAGTGGATATTACTATAAAATAAAATATTTGAGTTAACTTATATACCTCAGCACTAAATTGCGATACAGAAATATACAGAAAAATGAGATAATTTAGAAAATTTAATTGAACGTTAAAAAAGTTGATATTTTAAATAGGTACTGTATTTAGAATACTTGTACAAAATATTAAATACCTACTCTGAAAAAAACGTTTTCAGAATACTTAAGAAGTATTCTAAATGCTCAATGCTGTATTCAGAATACTGCCCAAGTCTGTGGCTAGTGGTCAGTGGCATTGGCGCCACTAGGGTTAAGGATTTAAGATTCTGGCAAGGGCGTGCCTGGGGGGGTTCACCCCCCCCCCCTCCCGAAAAATAAAAATAATTATTAAGAAAAGTTGACTATAATATTATAATATATGTGGACCTTGATTACGCATAGTCTGGTAATAGAACACACGCCCCCCCCCCACTCCCCCCAAAAAAATTCTAGTCACGCCCCTGGATTCTGGGATGTAGCCTAGACAAAACTATTAATAAAAAAAATCCTTAGGGGCTTATATTTAAATCAATAAAGGATATATTTGGGGCTAAATCGTAGTCGGGGGCGGCTAAGCCCCCTAGCCCCCTAGTTACGCCAATGGTCGGTGCCGTAACTAGACTACTCGAGGCATGTTTGCAAACCAATTTTGAGGCCCCTTACCATCTTTTTTGATACATATCACAAAAACTTTTTTTTTATTTACACCATACAGTATTACAGTATAATAGTAATAACATTAATACTCGACATAATTCATTGATTGCAATTGTTTTTTTTTTTTTTATTGGTCGGAAATCTAAATACCAAACTAAGATTTAAGAGAATATTATTTAGGTGAGTACCCATTTGAAAGCAAAAACGTCGAATAAAATATTAATTGTGTGGCGGTCGAATGTACTAGAACATTCGGGCGCCACGCTGCGCACCTTCGGTGATGTTCTAGAACAGTGGTTCCCAACCTTTTTGGTACTATGGACCACTATGAGAACTTTGGATACGTCACGGACCACCTCAATTGTATACCTTATTTTTCTTACAAATAAGAATCAATTTTTTTTCACATATTTTAGAATTTTGATTATTATTACATGAATATGATACTTTTAATAACATGGATTTCACTATGTAATATAAATTTATAAAGAAACGACGTACTATACACGATTGTCAGTAATTAGTGTTATGCCTCAAAGGAAAATGAAATTATTAAAATATTTTTACATTTTGTAAGTATGGCTCGCGGACCACCTGACAATGTCTCGCGGACCACTAGTGGTCCACGGACCATAGGTTGGGAACCTATGTTCTAGAAGGTTCGTTCTGCCGCCGCCGTCGCCGCCTCTCGAAGATTCGACAGCCAATGTAAGCGCAAAATCGTAGCTTCTCGCTGAGTTCGTTCGTCAATCAGTCTCGCCGTCTCTCGTTTTTCATTTGTATAATTAAAGTTGGCTCTTGTCATATAGTTATAATTAATAAAACAATAAGTGTTTATTTATAAATTATAATGAATAAACACTGTAAATAATTTGCATCTACCTATCACGCCTTGCTACCACAATTGCATTATAAGAAAAATGTTAAAATATTTATGAATTAATTTGAAAAGACTTGCCTGGGACGCACCCCTCCTAGGCAGTGGCGGCGCAAACTTTTTGTCTTTGAAGCAAATTGTATATTTTGAATATTTTTACCACTAACCATCCCCTTTATTATATCAAAATGATAATTTACTATGTCAATTATCATATTTGTTATGAAAATAAGATAATAATAATAATTGTATTGAGGTGTTACAATTATATCACCGGCACCCACCTATATTAGACATGAAGCAATTGCTCCAAATAGTATTATATCCTTATCCCTACCTCCACTGGCCTTCAAATAATATATTTGGGTACTAGTTTTTTTATCCAAAAATGTTGTTTTATAACTAATCAAAATGATGTGAAGGAAATATTTTCAAAAACGTTAGTGTTTTTTGAAATAAAAACTGTCTTAATTGATCACTCCACATAACATCTTATGTCTTAATCTGTGGCCGATACATACAATTGCCAATTATAAGTAGGTTCACCTAATACTGATGACGACTCCTGGCTCCTGCACCATGCTTTAAGACCTTTTCAACAAAATGTAAAATATTAAAAGAATCGGCTGATAGTATAGTATAGGTATTTGGTCATTGACCGCAGGTTACTGCAATGGATGCATTAAATTTGAATTTCAATGATATCGACTGTGGCGCAATTTGAATGAAAAATCTGGGGGTGTTGAAGACCTTTATTTATCGGTTAGTCTATAAACGCCATAAATTATTATTACAAGGATGTAAAATTTCAAAACTGGAGGTGCTAATCTATGGCTAAATATACTAAGGCACGTGCTAATCTCCTCCCCCTACCCACATAATACCAACTCAAATTGTGCCAATGATGTACACGAAACGACGATACATTCTGAAATGGAGACTGTCTGTCAGCTTATAACTCTAAGTATGTCTTCAAATATCTAAGTATTGAAAATAATATGTATCGAAATACCAAAAGACAAAAATTACAAATTCATCTCAACGGCACCTAAAAAAGCCTTGCTCTGTACTCCAAGTATAATATAAATCCATAAATAGTAAATATATTATTATTGTCTCATAACTCCCATTATTATTTTTTATCTACTAGTCTACCACAATGTTGTTTACTAGATAAGAAAGTTACTAACGTTATACAAAATTATCATACGAAACTATTCTATATTAATTTTGTACATGATTTTTGCCTCATCTAATCTAACCATTGGAAAATAAGTACATGTATTTCAAAAATAAATTACAATTTCTAATGGGTATCTAACAATTCTGTATTTCCAATGAATTTGAAAAAATATATATTACAAACAAATATTGTAAATGATATTATGAAAAAAAAAGTAATAAACCTCAAACAGTAAGGAAAAATATGTTGAGTTAGTAAATATTTGATTTAAAAAGAAAAAACATCATTAACTGGGATAATATTTTAACACAAAAAAATTTTATTCATCAGGTTTAAAGATATCTGTTTCTGTTAAAATGATAAATGTTTATCCAAAAATTACAAATTAAATCCAATAGATCTCATAAATTAGAGATCCCCAAGGTCAACACTTTCAACAAATGCATTCGAATCTTCCTTTTTGTCATTTGTTCCTGAATTTGAAGTTGGTTTTGTACCATTTAAAAGAATATGCTTTCGATATTCCAATGAACCCCATGATACTGCTTCCGCCTTTTTAAGTTTTATTTCAACCTTAGTGGGTAACATGGACACACAACTTGTATTAACGTCGACAATCTAAAAATTAAATTGGCATAAATTAAATATTTAATTTTGTAACTGAAAATGGCAAATAAATACCCCATAAAGTTCCATGTTTTTAGAAAACACTGAATTGTCAGAAGGGAAGTAGAGTTCCACGGACAGTTTTACAGGAGACAATTTCACATAAGATGTGTTTGGGTCATATTTCTTGGCAAATATTGATACTACAACCCAGGGCCCAGTCTGATGCCAGTCTAAACGGCAGTCTGTATGTCCTTGAATTTTCTGATACACAACAAAAACCATTGAATATTTTTTAATTTAAAAACAAAAACAATAATTACATGAAATTACCGTTTCTTTAATCCAACAATGATTTCCTTGAGAACACCCAACTTGTTCTAAAAATGCATTGAAATCCGACGTCTTTTTATTACAACAGGACCAATATTTCATACCCTCATGGAATACAGGTACACCAGGATGATGGGCACATGTAAGATTCCCTTTTCCAGCACCTTCATAGGCCTATACTATTTTGACATTGTTAATAGAGACAATGTTTATGAATTTTGAAAATAAAATATAAATTAATAAGACCTGTTTGCATCCATTGTTTTTACACATAGTACCAATTGAAATGTCAGTTAAGCTATTTGTATCATTTCCATTGGTATTGCTTATATAAGTAGCAGTCATTTGTTGTAAGAGAGCAGAAGATATGGTCGGTTTAATATTAGTCAATGGCAAATTAGCTGACGGTCTCGGTAACGAAACTGGTTTTGGTGCATGATATTCAATGACATCATCTTTGCTATCTTTATCTGGAACATACTTTTCGGGCTCTTTTGGCTTTTTACCGTTGTGGTAACCCTTTGTGCAGCCCTTAAACATATAAATAGGTTTTTAGACACATAATATTAGTGTAACAAAGTAAAATAAATTATTGTGTCAAATATAAGAATTACCTTTATATTAAGAAATTCAGTAAAATCGGTACATTTCTTTTTACAGCACGACCATCCCTTGTAGGCGTCATGAAAAAAAGGGTCACCTGGGTGATATACACAGGAATCTAATCATTCAACAAAAAAAAAAACTGTTAATAAATTAGTCAAATTGCATTTAAGTAACAGGGGAACCATCTAGGTACTTCGTACTAAACTTTCGATATAAACTTATAATTTTTAAAATATGCATAACTAGCAACTTTGCCACTTTAAAGTACAGACTTACAGTTGAAATTATTTATAACAGTATCGAAAGGACCATAAAATATTGAACTTGGAAGTAGATAGTAGTTGCTTTATTTATTTGTCCGATACATTGTACTATTGAACTAACCAATTATTTTGAATGGATTTATCGGTCGTGCCAACCGATTGTTTAAAGATTTAATGCTTCATACCAATTTCAAGATTTCTGTTTAAGCATATACCCACTAATTCTCCTGTTAAAATAAAATAGGTACAACCTACCTTCAGGATTATTGGCTTGATCGAATTTCACAGCACATCCACGGTTATAGCATAAAGTCAAATTCGAATTATCACACATTTTCGGTTTTTATTTGTGTTAACTTTAAATAGTTTAATAGAAGAAGGTGAAATTAAATACTATGTACAACAATCAAACAGCGGCAGCGAGGAACAAACGGAGAATAAGAATACCAAAAAGAATCGAATAATTCAAATGATTGCCTTAAGGAACGCTAAAGTCGCTTAGATATTAATCACACAAAGCCGATAGCCAAAAATGACAGTGTTGCCAAAAAGTATAAAATAAACTCAAACATTTTATTCCCTCGTTTAAACGAAAATAAAAATATTAATTTAAAAAAAAAATGTATAACATAATATAATATATAATATACTTTAGGATATATTTTATGACAAATGAGAGGAGCATAAAACTGAATAATTGCATCTACTGGTTACAAGACTTAGTGTTGTGTAAGATATAACAATATAATATATAAATATGAGAACCTAAATAAATTTAATAAAAAAACCTTTTCTATAACTTAATTTTAAATTATGACTATATACATGCTTGTGAAATAAAGTAATTCTAACCAACTTAAACTAAAATTAATATTTCTTTTCTTTTATACGTCTTTTTGGTTCTGTTTTAGATAGCTAGAAACAAAATACAACTGAGTTATATTATTAAGAAATATTTCTTAAAAATAATTTGTAATTATATTTACTCATGTCCAAATGAATTTAATTGTAAGTTATCGATGGTAGGCATGAATTTTTCATTGTGAATTTCTTGAAAAGGACTAAAATAAATATAAGTGTCATTAATACAGGATGTTGAAGCTGGCCAACGAGAACTTATCATTCCTCATTTGATTTTTTATATGAATGTGGTTAATATTATAATAATATAATAACATAGTTGTTACTATTATACATTTTCAATTTGATGAATCTTAGTTTGTCTATTTAGCTTATATTTTTTTATGGGTTAGGTACCTATTGTATAACAATATTAAATATTTTATTTTTTTGTTATTGGAAAATGTTTTTTTTTAATTACCTACCAATAACTTATGATAATATCATATTCTATTATTTATATAATATGTAAGTGTGTAATTATTAGGATAACTCCCCCTCCTTTCCACCATTTTCAATTCCTGTCTACGACACTGTAAGAAAGAGTAATAACAACTTAGTAACAAGTTATTTATACATAAATAAAATTAATTGATATAAATAAGTAATAAACTCAATAGAGTAAATAATTTAACATAAGTTAATATGACGTATTCGTTTACTCTTGAAAATTATAATGTGCTAATTCAGTTCATTATTTATTAATCATTGTTACATTACTCATTACTGTTAACATGTAATAATTATATTATAAAAAAATTATACACAAATAAATAAAAGCTATATCACCTTTGGTAAACTGAAGACGCTGGAGTAGATACTCCAGATAAATTACTTCCCGTAGATAAAATTGATAACTCGTTTCGAAATGACTGTTTCCTTTTTTTTAAAATCATACACTTAATAAAATATGTAGATATATATGTAGTAACAAAAACAAAACATTTGATTTTCCTAATAGTTACCTATGTCTCATATCAGGCATTTTCGGTTTCATGTTTACAGGAGTATTGTGAATTTTTGCTTCTGCGTTAATCATATTAAACGGTGTTGAATTTTTTGGAAAAATTGGCGTCGAAATGGATCGGGTTTCCGTAATGCTTTGCGAATGTTGTGGTGTATTCCGCAATGCACTTAAAATAATATTAGTATTAACTATCAATACATTTTTATAGTAAGCATAAAGTAATTAACATTGAGTTAATTTCATCATTTGTAGTACATAAGTATCTAAAGTATGCATATTTACTTTTTAGCAATCTTAAGTTCACTTTCCAGTTTTTTAATGTATAATTTTGCTCTATTGTACTTCGATATCTACACATAATATAGGAAGATTAGATATTTTAATCGAGTTAAAAGGTACTAGTTTTACTAGGTATGAATATTTAACAAAAATAAGTCTTTTACTATGTATTGATGATGTCCAACTAATTTAATACGATGCGCTTTTTGAAATTTCATCACTTTGAGCAATTTTTCGTAAACTTCTTCTGGTTCTTGGAAATATTCTAAGACTTGTGGGTTGGTTTTAAATGACTAAAATATTTTTATTTACATATTAAATTTGATATTGAGTTATAACTAAAAGTAAACATCAAACTTTATAATGTTTGTAACGGTGCATATAAAAAATACTGTCGAAAAATTATTCTTATAATCATTTATCTAATATTTTAATTACTTTTTCTCCTATCACAGTGGATGAACATTTATTCCTACAATGTTTGCAGCAATCTGTTGTCCCTGAAAATTAATTTGTATAATAAAATGAACAAAAACAACCGGATTTCCTTACCATATAAATATAATTAAATACCTCATAATATCATTTAATTTTTGAGTTGTTTTATTACAATACATTGTTTTATTTAAATTTATGAAATTAAAACTTAAGATAACAATTTAAAAAATGTATTTAAAAAATCTTAACAATAATGCTATGATGTTAAAAATTGAAAAAATACATTTTTTCTAAGTTATAGTGCTTAAAATATCATTACTATCGGTGCACTACAACCTTCACAATTATTGAATAAGTATTACTAGCAAATATATTATTATTATTACTAAGGATGTTATATAATATGCGGTCTGCCGGCGATTTAGAAATGTAGTATACTGATCACGTTTGAAAAAAAAAAATTTTTTAGAATATAATAGTAGTAGGTATCATTCCACAAAAAAATAA